AAGGGTTTCAGGAGCAGTGTGCCAGGAGCCAGGGTCAGGGCCAAATGTGTATTTGTTACATGACAATATCACGGAGGCTCTCCTGTGAGCCAAGCACTGTGTGCACCGTGTAATTTCCGGTCCAACTGTCCGTTTTTGCTCTCGCTGCCCTCTGCCTACACTGGCTGGGCCGTAGCTGTTACTAGTGTGTGTCTCCTCCTTGAGCTCCTCTGCGGCAGGAACTGTTTTGTTCCTGTCCAGGCCCTGCGCTGTCACGTGTGTGAACACAGCAGGCATTTGGGAAATGTCTGGCAGAGGCGCCCAGGGAAGAGTGTGTGGCGCAAGGGTTTAGCAAAGGGTGGTGACGCACCCCGCCCAGGACGCCCAGGGCTGTGGAGGTGCCTGAGGACACCCCGGGGCAGGGGTGTAACTGGGAGCGGCCTGGCCCCTGCCTGTGCTGCTCCCTCTGCCTCCCCCAGCTCCATTCTGTCCCACGACCCAGACTCCCAGGCACAAAGGAAGACCCCATCACCACTCCTGACCCTACCGAAACTTTACAACAAAAAGGAAAATGTAATTAAATTTAACCACTCCGCGGTGTTTGCAAATACTTAACATGCTCCCAGCGTCTCTTCTTAACCCTGGGTGGAGAAGGACGTGAACCCTAAAGCCCCACCACAAAGCAAGTGCTGCCTGGAACTTTCCGATCTATTGTCCCATAGACATCATGGCTGCACTCAGGCGGCACACGTGGAAATCTCATCATGGTCCTAATCTTTACCACTCTCGGAGCTGAGAAAGTTAATTTTACCCAAGGCCATTCACCTGGTGGGGAGCTGGGGATTCAAGAAAAGGAAGTCCTCCTTCCTGGCCTCCCATCGTGGGGTGTCCCCTGCGTCCTTGCGGCCACCTGGGTCCCCACACTGAGGCCAGACCATAGCTTCCCTGTGGGAGTCAGCAGGGAATCTGCATCAAGGCAGGGACAGAGCTGCTCTGCTTTCCCCCAAAAAGCCGGCTGCTTAAGGAAGTGCCGCAGGCCTCCTCCCAGGTCCTTTTGAAGGTGTTAAATGGGGTGAATCCTACCAGCAGCTGTTCTTAGGGACTCTTCCTTCTCTGTGGAGAGAAAGGCCTGTTTATTGTCTGGAAATCAGCTTCTCTTGCTACCAAACAGCCTCCTCCCATTCCAATTCTATGGAAACCACCTTGTCTATAGAGCCCTGTCAAAGGCTTTTGAAAGTCCAGGTCCAAACTGCCATCCCCTCTTTAGCTACAGGGGAGTTTGTTACTTGCAAACATGCCTTCCCCTGGCAGACAGCAAGGGGATCTCTTTGGCAGGGGATTTTAGTACATGTTCAGAGATCCCATTTTTTTGTTGAGTAAGGAGATAAGAGTAATTTAACAAAACAATGGTGTTAATAATAAAAGTAATGATGATAATAAATGCTAACATTTATGGAATCTTACCAAGTGCCCAGCTCTGTGCTAAAGCTCTTTTGAGAGAATCGATCTCACTTATCTTAAGTGAGTCCTTATTTAGCACATAAGGAAACTGAGGCTGAACCCCTGAGTAACCTGCCAGGGTAACAGAGCTAGGCAGTCCAGGGATTGGAACCCCAAGCCACACTCTTAACCACCGCTCCAGGCTTTGTCCTGTCGGTGTCCTGCAGGCCTGGGAAGAAGGGCCTGTGCGACCCAGCATGACAGTGAGGCCAAGACAAAGTCCCTGCCCTCGTGGGCTCATGGGCCGGAATCAGTGAGGGGAAGAAGGAACCGTTCCTTCCTCCCCTCACTCAGGACACTGTACACACGATGGCAGTAAGAGAGCTCATCTTTGGTCACCAGAAAGCTTTAAAATATACAAAATGGAACAAATGCCAAGCAAAAAGGTTCATGTATGTTCTGTGTACTCTATGTTTTCTCCCCACTGGCTGCATCCAGGAGTCTGGGAAATGTCAGATCTCTTTATATTATATCCCAGTCATTTTCCTGATTTATGTACCTGAGACGAAAGGGTTAAAGGCAGACTTGCTGCAGCTTATTATTTTAATCCAGGATTATGAGGCTGGAGAAAAAGGCCACTCTGTCCCCTTGACCTCCCTGGCTAGGAGAGAAGTGGTGGTTCTCCTGACCTGCCTGGCTGTGGGGGAGGTGAAGTCATAGCGAAGCCTCTGTCCCTCCACCAGGAACCTGGGGACCATAGACACTGCCCTTTGTCCTCGGGAAGCATTTAGGATGCTGGCGGTTGGAGGGGCAGAGGGAAGGGAGCTCTAGTTTTCCCCACCAATTAGCTCTGTGTAGGGGCTGCGACTCCTTGAGGGCCAGACATCTGTGATGTGAACTCCACAAGGGGAGAACTTCAAAATCCTGCACCCCACCTTGTGGCAGACTGCGTGGCCACAGATCCGGACAAACAGGGTAGCAATGTGACTCCTCTCCCTTCTCCAACTCCCACTGTTTGCAGATGGGGAAACTGAGGCCCGAGGAGGAAAAGCACCCAGCCATTTTATTCCTGTGCCCTAGGAGTGCAGGTTTGCAAGACAGTGACAAAAAAAAACAAAACAAAACTGTATTCTTGAGTGGGAATTGTCTTTGCCTGGCTATGCACTGACTGCCCCAACCCTTCCAGGAAATTTCCAGAGCGACTGTGGGAGGTGGGATTGTGGCTTATGGTTCTTGATGGGAAGGGGTTGGTTCCAGGGCTGCGTCAGAGGCGAGGGTCAGATTAGACTGGGAAATCTCCCTCAGATGGGAGAGGCTGAACCTGTCACCCTGGAGGGGCTGGGTGTCCTTTGGGTGGGCCAGGGCGATGAGGGGGGATGAGGGGGGCAATAAGCCTAGGACAGGCTCCGCATCTGCAGCACTGCACCTGCCCAGCCCCCGCCTCCTGGAGAAAGACCACCTTCCCCCACAGGGCTGTGTAGGGCCTCCCTTTCCCAGGGCACACAATGAGGAGTTGCCTGCTTAGCTGACCTTGGCTGCAGTCTGTGAAGGTGACTGCCACTCCTCCCTGCTCAGTGTGTTCCTGCATGGCTGCCTCCAGGCGCCTAAAAAGCCCTGCTTTTCTAATCAGTGCAGAAACCAGCTTTGTCTGCCAGGAACCGAAGCAAGGCAGCTGATGAAAAAAATAGTAACAGCTCCAAGTGGAGGGAGCGGAAAGGAAACAGCAAAGCTGGAAAATAGCTTCAAAACCTGGGGGCAAGGCTGATCCTGGCAGCATCTGGCCAGCTGCCTGTGGGCCCTCCTGCCTGCCCACCAGGCCTTGTGACAAATGCCCTCCGACAGCCGTGGAACCACAGCTGTCACCGGAAGGCTCGGAGCGTGTGGGCTGGGAGCCAGAGGCCCGGGGCTGCAGGGGCGCCTCTCCGGGCTGGTAACCTCATTATCTCTGCTGTCGAGCAGGAGCCCCAGGGAGCACAGCTGCCTGCTCTGCTCGAGAAGCTGTGCGGAGGAGGCCTCTCCTGCCAAAGGAGGCTTCACAGGGCGGCGGGCCTGGAGATTCACTTTCACTCGCTCCAGTACAGCCCTGCTTGTTCCAGAGCTGCGCCTGAGCCCTGCCAGGGTTCACAGGCACAGATGGCGCCTTTCTTCTCTCAGTCCCCCTGCGCCCCCGTGGCCCCAAAGCAGGGTTAGATGCAAACAATGAGAAGAAAAAGAGAAGGGGGAAAGAATCTAGCCTGCCCAGAGCTCGTCCAAGGATGCCCGAGGAGGCCTTCTCCCTGGAGAAGAGTGTGCCAGCGTCCACTCGCATCTCTGTCATCCAGGAAACTACCCAGCCCTGCCAGGACGAGGCCCCTGTTTCCATGTGGCATAGGGGGTGGGTCGGGCGGGCTGCAGGTCTGAGATCCAGCCCAGCCGAGCCTCTGCCTGCGAGTTCTCTCTGCAGACGCTCCCTGCAGAGGACAGCCCCGCATGTATGACAGGGAGGACGGGGCAGCCACTGGGGATGCTGAATGTGTCTGCCCCAGCCACAGACATCCTCAGCCTGCCCTGGGTCCCAAGGAGGGGGGAGGACAGGGGGGGCAGGAATGACGCCGGAGGCAGCGGGGCTGGCTGTCTGCTCTGCTCACGATTGATGTTCGACCTTGAGCGATGTGCCAGCGCTCCTCTCTGCCTGGACACGCTCATCTGTCAAACGCAGAGAACACCTGCCCCGGCCAGCCTGGCTGGGGAAAGCGGCTCTGTGGAGAACCGTCTCCTCCGCGGGAGGCCGTGGGCTGCTGTCGGCGCTGTAACCCGCACGGGCTGTGTGTCACCAACTGGGAGACAGCTTTGAAAAAGGGCTGCTGTCATTTTCTGCAGCTCTGGACTGGCCAGGGAGGCAGCACATCTGGTGGGTGGTGAGGGCTGGGAGAGGACCTTTATTATTATGAAAATCGAGCCATTTGTGGACTTGGTTTGGGTCCAGCTTAATTTCTCTGAGCCCTGAGCCTGTGAGTTCTGAGCTGATGCCTGACAGGTTTGGATTGGGACTAAAGCAAGAAAACACCAGGGTTTATAAAAATGCCATTTCCCCAAAGGGCCAGATCTGCGAGGGACAGGGCCTGGTTCCTTGTGTTGGGGTGGGAGCTCAGGGTGGTGCCGCGTGTGGGTGCAGAGACAGAAGGAGCGAGGTGACGCGTGTAAAGACCATCTGTCTGGGCACAGGCCCAGCCTGACAACCCTAGGCCCTTTCCTCCCTCCTCCTCCCAGATAACTCCCGCTGTCTGCCCAGGGAAGGAACAATAGAATAATCTGGAGACTCCCCTACCCTTTTCTAGATCCTTCTGGGGTCTCTGCCTCTGGTCCCTGAGCGGATGTCCAAGGCCAGGCCAGCCCCAGCCCCTGTCCGGAGCCTGTCAGGGCCATTGCCCAGACCGCAGCGCCAGGCTGGGCACCTTCCGTGTGGGAGCTGGAGGAGGCAGGCGGCCGTGCTGGGCTTTTCCTGGCAGAGCCGGTGCTCGACACTGTTAAAGCCCTGCTAATCCATGTTATTTTCTTCTAATCCCTCCCCCTCCCGCCCTGGCCTGTGTGCCACCCTGCAGGACCTTTGGTCCGAAGCCGGAGCCCGTGCTGAGCGCCAGGCATGAGGAAGCCCAGCATCTGCTGCAGCGTGCCCGCATGAAGGCCAGGACCCGGCCCCTCCGTGCCAGCCACGACATCGTGCCCATCGCTGCCCCCAGCGGCCGGTGAGTGGGACCTGGGAGGGCCGTGGCAGGGAAGGGTAGGCAATGAGAAGAGGTGGGATCTAGACATGCGGCTGCTCTCTCCTCCCTTCCGTGTGTGTGTGTGTGTGTGGGGGGGGGTTCTCCAAGTCAGGCACTTGCTTTGATCATTTAGTCAGTCAACACCCCTTCACTGAGGGCCTAATGAGTGTCAGCCATCAAGGTACAAAAATGAATGCACCATCATCGGAACTCCCTGAGGGGATGGGAGGGAGGTCACAGTTTCCAGGGGGAAGGGTGAACAAATGCTCAGTTATGGTGTAGGAGAGGAAAAATGTGTCTGCTGGGCTGGAAACCAGTGACTCCACCCGGAAAGGACAGGTGAGGCTCTTGAGAGAAGGTGGCTTCTAAGCTGAGGCTGGGAGGAGATACAGGTACTCACCAGGAAGATGGGAGAAGCACGGGTGGGCGTCCTGGGACAGAAACTATGAGCAGTTAGTACATGCTACCATGCTCGGGAGTGCAGCCAGGCTAGAGCATAAGGACATGCCGGGACGTGTGGCAGGAAGGCCAGGAGCTCAGTAGAGGCCCAACATGGAAGCTTCCAGGCCTGGTGAACACTTGGCTGTCTCCTGTAATAGCTGGAGCTCTGGAGGACGTGACGTGGGTGGGTAGCAGCACAATCTCATTTGCATTTCAGTGATGCTGACGCCACTCCAGCTGCAGAGATGTGTTGAATCTGGGAGACTGGGGCAGTGGGGAGGCTGTTGCCACTGTCTTGGTGACAGGTGCAGGGGAGGAAAGCATGGGGATTTCACAGAGATCCCCAAGAACCAGATCCAAGCAGGCTTGATGAGGCAGCAGCGAAGCAATAACACCTAGAAACAGACCACCGGGGCTGGAATTCTGGCTCTGCCACTTCCATGTGTGCCTCTGGGGAAGTGTCTGTGTCTCAGTTTCCTCATCTGCAAAATGGGAATGATAATAGTGCCCCTCTTGCAGGGTTGTTGTGGGGGTTATGCGAGCTAATAGACGTAAAGTTGAGGACAGCAGCTGGCCTGCAGTGCGTGCTGTAGGACTGTTGGCTCTAACTGTTAATTGTGTACTACGTGGATGCGGGAGGGAAGAGGGGGCGTCTAGAACGAGCCCAGAGTTCTGACTTGGCGTCTGGGTGTCTGGGGGCCTTAGCCGAGGGGTGACCCCCAGTGCGAGGGCAGCTTTGGAAGTGGAGGTGTCCTCAGAGCATCCTCAGGAGCTTCCACCAGGCAGTGGGACCATCTCTGCAGCTGACAAGGCCTATGGCTTCACCGTGGGCAGATCACGGGAGCCACGAGGGATCTGCGTGTTTCCATCGCCATGGAAGGGCACCGAAGGGAGCAAGGATTCCCAGTGGAACTGGGCCACGTGCTCTGTGATGTTGGATGCTGAGCTGCTCACTAAAGGGAAGGACCTTCATGAAACCATCATGATGACTTCATGAACAGAGGCCTCTGTGTTCAGTGTCCTTGTGACCCTTAGGAGAGGAGCTCTGAAGACCCCAAATCCAAGTCCTGGCATATATCGTGCTTTGTCCCTTCTTCTAGCTGGAGGGCACGGGTTAGGAACGGGCATGGCTTCTTTGAGGCGTCCTATTCTTCTCCCTCTGTGTGTGGGGAGAAGCCCTAGACGTCCAAGGAACTCTCCTGTTCCACTTTCTATAGGTATTTAGGCTGGGTAGCCTCAAAATAGTCAGGACTATCTGCAAAACAGATTTTATTATGTAAATGTCCTCTTGGACACTTCCTCTTCCCCAATCACTCCAGCAGCTCACAAAAACCCCAATCACTAACTTTAAAGTAGGCTCCCCTTGCCATGCTGTCTCCAGGCCATGGAAATGCTATAGAAATGCAAGGTGACCCACTTTAGCAGCTGCTGTGTCCAGAAAAGAATTACTATGACTTGGCAGCGCTGGTGAATTCTCAGAGGGTATAGCTGAAAAATCAATGCCAGATGGCTGGCTGCAGATGCTTCTAAAGGTTATGCTCTGTCAGATCACCCTGGAGGCCACGCTGAGTTGACATGGCAATGCCACACAGGCCCCAGGCCTGAGTTAGATGCAGGAAGCCCGTGTCCCCAGCCCAGATGCATCACTAGAGCAGCTTGGTGAAAGGTGACGGAACAGTAGGGGCGGGCAGGGCAGTCTCCAGAAGGCCGCCTTTATCCTCCATCTGGCTGGAGGTATCTGGGGTGAGCCTGAACAAACAGGGCTTTTTCAGGGGGCGAAGAAGTAGCCATAGATGAATTTTCTGGAAGCAAATTGACATAGAAGGTGAGCGGCTCCTGGAAGCACAAATTATTGCCCTTTTAGGTATCCCCAGATTGGTGTTCCTAATCACAGGAGGGCAGGACATGTCAGCGAGATGCAGGGCTTGACAAGGTGGCATTGTCAGTGGTCCTGCCCTGTGTCGGACAGTGGCTGTGTCGGGACTCTGCAGGGCTTGCGTCCATCACATTGATTGTGCCGTTAGGACAGCAGTGTTGTGGAAAGTGGGACCCTCGCTGGGGGCTCCTCGTGAAGCTGTGCAACTCCAGGCCTGCAGTAGAGGCTCCGAGCTCAGGCCAGAGTGCTCCTTGCTGGCCAACTGTGGCGCCCGCACCGGGCACTGTCCTGGCAGCCCGACAGGTGCAGGTCTGCCCGCTGCTTTGCTGCCATTTGCTCCATGCCCGTCTCCAAAACCTGCATCCTGCTTTTACGCCCTGTTACCAACACTGCTGGTGGGAGCTTCTGGGTTTGAATAATTGGGTTGAAGACACCTCACATGATTAAGCTCTGCTCAGTTTCTCTCTTTAGAATAAAAATGTTGCAGTGCATGCCAGGATGGCTCAATTCACCATCCTGTATGTAAAAGTTAAGGCCCTGTGGCTTGTGGGGACCACACTGCTTTTGAAGCTGGGCTTTGTTTTTCCTCCCTAGAAATTACAGCTGCATCCTGCCAGCAGCTCAGGGCGTCGGCCTCCGGGCCTGTGTGGGTGGTTGTGTCTGAGCCGCATGCAGAATGTCCCAGTGGGCTGTGGCCACATCAGAGCCACAAGGAGTGAGGGTAGAGCTTCTGCTCCGAGGGGCACCCCTGGTTTCTGGGGGGTGAGGTGATGCTATCTCTCAGCCGGAGCCTTCCTCTTCCGGGCTGCTGGAAGGGCAAGAGCTGACCATGAGCCCCACAGTGCCAGCCACCCCACAGCTGACTGCGGTACGAGTGGGGGTGGCCCAGAGTCCTCATGTGAGCTCCTGGGCTTCCCACTGCAGCGCCCCCCAGCCTCCAACAGAAAAACCACAGCTCCCTGAGGGACTCCCCACCCCCACACCGAGTGAAGCAGTGAGATCCCGCACTGTCCTCACCAGCTGGCGGCCCTGGCCAGGAGCTCCACCTCTCTCAGCCATGCTCGCAGGACTGCATTGGGACTTTAAGGGACCTGGGCACTCTTGCCTCGATGGGCTCTTTCATCCATAAAAAAGTTAAAAATTATATTTTATCACCATGCTGTTGAAAGATGAACATATTATTATATGTTTTCATTGACCTAAAAGTTTATTTTCTTCTGATTTTAAAAGAAATCAAAACACTTTCATGGGCCCCTGTCAGTACGGTGGGCCCTGGGCACGTGGCTGTCATGCCTAATGAGTAAGTCAGCCCTGTCTGAACGTGAGTTCCAGAAAAAGGATGACCGACACTTCTTTAATATTCCTCAAAGAAGCGCTTTTTAAAAAGCAGAGGATCTGCTCAAGTCTCAAAGTGGGCCAGTCCACTTGCTTAGCAATAGTTCTTTTTTCAAATAGTTTCTCCTGGAGCAGAGCTAATGGGGAAACGACTAGAGGGAGGGGTAGTGGCAGGCGTGGGGGTGCCTGGCTGCCTCCCGGGGCCGCTGCACGCCAGGGTGGCTGACCGTGCAGTGCGTGTCTAGCCTCGGGCTCCAGGAGAGGCGTTGGTGCTGGCGCTTGTACGCTGCGTGATGTAGGAAGGCTCAGCCCTCCTTGGCGAGACCCAGGGGCTAGGATCCGATGCAGTAGGACGTGGCAAAGCCTTGGCTCCCGCTTTCTTCTGCCCACTCACATCATGGCTGGGTGAGCACCACCCCTCCCCTCTTCCAGATCAGAGGCCTGGGGTCCAGGTTTGACGCTGTGGTCTGTCCCACATGGCACAGGGGAGTGGCGTGCCTTCAGCTCTCAGACACAGCTGCTTCCCATGGAGCTTTGCGGGCATCAGTCATGGACGATTTAACCCTTTCCCCTTAAGTCCACCACCTGATCCCAGAGGGTGGCCTCTGTCCGTCAGGCTCTGCTTCATCAGCAGCTCAGACCGCTCCAACCCATCAGAGCTACGAGGCTAGTTGATGGCTTCGCTCTTGGGACATGGGGGAAGTGCGATGGATGGTTAGGAATGGTCAGTGACACCACCAGCACATGGGTCACGTTCACCTGAGCCCTGACAGGCAAGACCACTTATCTACGAAGAACGGCCTGGAAGGCCATATTGTCCAGTCCAGTAAATGCCATGGATAATTCTAGAAGCCAACCAGTCAATGGCTGTTCTCCCTGCTGCTTGGCATGTTTTCACAGTCATTGTTAAGCATGAATGATTTCTTCCTGCTGTTATTCGAACTCTTTTCCTTTCAATTGCTAGCATATTTTTCTTTCTGCTGGGTGGCGACAAGGTTAGGTAAGGAAGGAACTCACACTGAGGCAGACTGGAAGAGCATTCCCATCCTACTTCCAGAATCCCTCAGGCATCCAATTAGAGGAGGGATTAGTAAATGCACAAATTGCTCACATGCATTTCTTTATGAGTTGCTGGGGTGTCTGGGCAAGGTTGAGCAAATTATGATATGTACACTACGCTATTGGAGCAGAATTTAATTCTCTAGTAGACGAGATGAAGGAGGGGGATGAGAGGGCACAGGCAGAGAAGGACTAAACACAGTGACATAACATATAAAGCATGCCAGTGAAGGTAACTGTCACATATGTACACTTCTGGGTGAGTGAAAGAAGGTAGAGGGTCTCCAAAGTCCAGGCCCCTGTCTCCAGATAGCAACCGTCAGCTATAGTCAGTGTCTAGTTCCATTTTTAGGGCCCCTTCTTGGGGAGAAAGCATCTCACAACTTCCTTTCCCAGCTGCTCAGGCGCTGGCCTTGTGTGGCGTCTCCTTTGTAGGAATGAGAAGGGCCGTGTGGGCTCAGAGGTCCCTCCCAGCCCTAACATCTTCTGCGAGTGTGATCACAAACGAGTCGTTCAGGGGTTCAGAGGACAGAGGAGACATTATCGTGGTGTGTTGGTGAGGAACAGAGAAACGCAGCAAGAGGATGTGTGTAGATAGAGAGGTTTATTTTAAGGAATTGGCTCACATGATTGTGTGGGCTTGGTTAATTCAAAATCCGCAGGGGAGGCCAGCAGGGGAGGCCCAGAGAAGAGTTGCAGTTTGAGTCCAGAGGCAGTCTGATGGCACAATTCCTTCTTGCTCAAGGGAGGCCAGTCTTTGTCCTATTAAGGACAAAGACTGATTGGATGAGGCCCACCCACATTGTGGAGACTAATTTGCTTTATTCAAAGTCCACCAATTTAAATCTTAATCTTGTCCAAGAAACGCCTTACCAGAACCATCCATAATGTTTGAGTATGTGGGCATGATGACCGAGCCAAGCTGACACATAAAATTAACCATCACACATAGTGTCTATACAGCAGGGAAGATTTAATAAGTAGGAGTCAAGTGCAGGCAGGCCAAGAAGAAAGATTCCAGGAATGAGGCAGGAGGGCTGCAGGAGGTGGGGCAGAGCCTGGAGGCTCTGACGGGGCTGAGAGGTGGGCAGCTGGGGAGGAAAGCAGGGAGGAATGCAGGGAGGGCCTGTATTTTCACTCCAAAGACTATGAACTTGACCCTGTGCCCTCTTGGGGGTGGTGTCATGGAAGCTGTGCTCTGGGAGGACCCACAGACAGGAGGCAGGTGGGGAGGCTGGGTAAGAGGCCACTGCAGAGGTCCAGCGTGAGTGACACAGAAGCCATGATGAGAGAAACAAGAAACGATGTGAATCCCAAACACTTAGCAGGGGCTTGGTGGGGAGGCCGCTGCAGGGAGCAGAAAGGGAGAAGAATGGTCCTTACTTAGGTGGCCTCTGTTAGGAAATGGCCTATGGGCCTGGCCCATTTGCACAGTGGCCTGAAACTCAGGTCACCTGGCTCCGAGGGGCCCTGGTGTGAGATGTGTGTGGGTGTTTCCTGGAGCCAAGCAGGACTCGAGCACCAAGCACAGTGTCTCCCAGAGCCAAAGCCAGTGACAGATGTGAAGGCCGTCCCCAGCACAGTAGTGGCATCGCTGCTGACCGCAGGTGGGCGTGTGCGAAGGCCGGGCAGCTGCAAGGAGGGACTGTTCTAACATCGAGACCCAGGGGCCAACGAGAAACATCGGTGTTGCATTGTCTGAGTTTTGTCTGAGCAAGGCGATTGAGAACCTCGAGTGGAAACTTCAGGAGCAAGTGTGTTTGGACACCTGACTCTGTGGAGACTTAAACTACCCTCTTCCCATGGAGCTTTAGACTGAGGGCAAATACGCATCTCCGCAGTTCCTCAGCACCAGACCTGCTAGGGTTCGGCTCACTTCCTCTCCCCAAACGTACACACGCCCCCGCACCCCCACGCATACATGAGGGCTTTGGTTTCTTCCTTCTGTAGATCTCAGGTTTAACAACCTTTCATCCTAACTCGCGCTGGGCCGGGCTGCAGAGGGAAGGCCAAAAGCTAAGGAGGCCGTGTTGATGTGGGGCGCTCAGTCTCGGGATCAGGACCGGCTTATAAGTTACTCTGGCTTGCCGTCTGACACCGGAACCTGAGTTACGTAACTTGTGGGCTGTGGCTCCCACAGAGCAGCATGGGAGACTGCACCCCAGGGGGGCTGGGGCTGGGCGGCACCTTCCTCCCGTTTCTCTGTCTGTGATCTCTCCTCCTGTCTCTTTGCCAGAGATGGCCAGAGGAGCCCAGCCCCGGACCCCAGGGTGCCCTGCGCCTGCAGAGACGGCCTCCAGAACGGGCACGTGAGTGACTCCTCCAGCGGCGAGTCCAGCAGCGGGCAGAGGCCGAAGCGGGGCCCGTCGCCGTCGCACGTCCGCTTCGAGGATGAGTCTGCGGGCGAGGCGGAGGTCCGCTACCTGGAGCGGCTGCAGCAGCGCCAGCGCCAGGCGCTGAGCACGGCGCTGCAGGCCGCGGACCAGGGTCCCCTGCGCTCCAAGCCGGACCTCGCCGACTACATCAACGGGGGCCCCCGGCTCCGGGATGTGGGGAAGGCGGCGGTGCACGGGCTTGTGGGCAGCCTGGACCGCAGGGGCAGCGGGAGTATGTGCCAAGCCTGTGGCAGCTCTACGGAGAACCGCCGCCCGGCCCAGGGGAAGGCACTCCCTGACCCCAGGGTGCTCCGGGAGCTCCAGGCTGCCTGTGGGATGGAGGGGGTGCTGGCGGATCCACTAGGCTCCCGTGGCCTGTGCTTCCCTCTCCAGCTCCTCCCTGAGTGGATCCGGGAAACACACATTGGAGATCCCGTGCGCCCTGAGGGGGTGGACCCTGCACGGGGCAGCAGCGACACTGGGGACAGCTGCAGGACCTCTCCCGCCAGCCCGGCATGTGGGCAGACGCTGGGCATGAGCCCTCGACTGCGGGGCTCCCGGTCCCCAGAAGGCCACGGGTGGGCCAGGAAGGCTGACATGGAACTTCCCTGGGGCCTTCAGGCCCAGCGTCACCTCCCTGGGGTTGATGCCGTGGAGGTGGAAGATGAAGTGAAGGAAAGCAGAGGACACACACCTGAGGGGACTCTGTTTCTGAGAGAAGATGCTGTCCCTACACCTCCTGCCCTGGACTCTAAGCCCGAATCCCTGGCGTCCCAGTGGCAGCCTGGTCCAGGACTGGGAAATCACTGGGCTCACCCTGCGGAGTCCTGGGCTCCATGCGGGACAGCCCATGCCATGACCTCTTCCATGAAGACTGGGCCCTCAGGGCCAGGCAGCCAAGCCCAGGTTGTAGAAAGTCACAAGTCTCTGGAAATCGTCTCCACTTCCTCCCTGCAACAGAGCAATGCAGAGCCCTCTGCCCCTCACCAAGCCCAGCAGCCACCAGCTTCCCTCTGCCGCGAAGGCTGGGTGCCGACCCCTCCTCCTCCCAGGAAAACCACCTCCCCTGTGTCTCACAGGAAAGTGGGCCTGGTTGGACCCCGCAGGCTGGGTGACCAGGGACAGCCTGTGGCTTCTTCAAGAAGTGTGGCTCTCGGGACCTGCGAGCACACCTCGCCACAGACCCAGCCCTGCAGCCCCCGCGTCAGGCCCCCGCTGTCCACCAACAACTGTAACAACAGCGTGGCTCGGGGGCCACAGGAGCCCTGCGGAGGAGCTGGCCCCACGAGCAGGGTGGAGAGGGGCCCCTGCGGACAGGAGCCGGAGCCGCCCCCGGAGCACAGCAGAGCTGGTAAGGGACTGCCGTGGGGTTGTGCCCAGCCCAGGCCTCCAGCAGTCCTGGAGCAGAGGCCAGGTAGGGCCTCTGACACACCAGGCACAGCCACCGGTGACTCCTGGCGGCCCCGCGGACCCCCTGCAAGCAGCAGCAGGCGTGGGGGAGCTGCTGGAGTCTGCAGGCTGGAAGCAGGATTCGGTGTCAGCCTGGAGGCAGATGAACCACTTCCTGCTGGGGGAGGCAGAGCCGTGGGGAAGGCAGTGGTGACACCCTGTGCTGCTGGGAACCCCGAGGTGTGTACGGAAGCCCCAGGCTTGGCTTTCAGGAGTTTATTCCGGACAGAGCAGGAAGAGGCAGAAGCACTGGGATTTATTATTTGCTTAGAGCAGTAAATGCCCAATAGTCACGTGGCTGAGGCCCTTCCCCGTCTCCATCCTCACTTCATTCCATTCGCTCATTCACCCAGGCACAGCACTGGGCGCTGGGGGGATGGTATGTGAGCTGCTCCAGCAGGAGTCCTGCCCGAGAGGCTTTCTGTGGCTAGGCTGTCGGGAGGACACTCTGAAAGGGGATGACAGAGTTCATACCCGGGTTGCTCTCTGGTCCCTGGCCCTCCCTGACCCCCAGCCCTGGGGGCAGGCCAGTGGCTTTCAGCAGGCAAAGCTGCTGAAGGGTATGGGCCCTGTTGCCCTGGGAAGGGGTCCTCGGTCCTCAGATTGTGGGCAAATCCTGGGTGTCGCCAGGCTCAGACTCTGATCTCAATGTTGTGATCCCAGGTGACCAACTCTGCCGCTCTCTTTGTGCAGAGTAACAGGCCCACCGCATTCATTTTTGCTGTCATGTGCTCATGGCTCTGACATTCTCGGGCTGGGATGGCTCAGGAGTGATCCAGGGCTTGGAAGCAGTGGAGGAGGAGAGGGCAGAGAGATGACAGCTGCAGTGACCTTATTGAGGATGTGGATGCCAAGTGCTCCCACCCCTGGGAGTGCCTGCCACCCCCTCCTCCACACACATAGACACTGGGGCGCTCCTTCCCCCGCCCACACAGACCTTGAGGGAACAGTCCCCACCCTGGGTTCCCTCCCGCCCACTGCCGAGCTGTGGATTTCTGTCTCCGGGGCTCTAGGCCGACTGCCGGCCCCCAACCACTTCCCACAGGGCTTCTGCTCTCACGGCCGGCCTTCCCTGGCAGCCCCGGCCTTCGCATCCCAGAGGCCTGGAGCAGAGAGCTCTGGGCGAGTCACTTAGTCCCCCTGTGCTCCTGTCTCCCCTGTAAAGCGAGGACAGTAATGGGGCTGTCTCACAGGACTGCGTGACGCCCTCTCTGTGAAGGGTTTCACTCAGTGCTTAGCACAGAATAGATGCTCCAGAAATGATGGCTATTGTGGAAGCTGCTAGAAATCACAACTGACAAGATTGTGCTTTCTTCCCCTGCTCCCCGCTGCGTGCCTTGATATAGAAGGGACATGACTTATCACAATCAACCGCTTCATTTAACAAACACTCAGTAACCACTTTGGTACAGCGCTCACCGGCCGCGACGCCTCGCCCACAGCGGCACTCACAGTCCGCACGGTGGTCTGCGCTGTGCACTGACGACCAGTCCGTTTTGCTCTCGTGTGATGAGGAAAGCTTTAAAGCACCGAAAGCTTGTTTTACTTTACAGGCGGCTTTACTTGTAATGTAAATCAGAATAGGTAACATATACATGTATGTTTTCAGTACATTATTTTTAAATGGTCACAATTTTATTTTGATAAATGAAAAATTAGAAAAGTCATATCACAGCTGTCGGCTGAAGTCGATGCTCGGTTCATCTGTGGCTGTCAACCATAGTCGATGCTCGTACCGAAGTGGTTAATCATCTGTAGGTACCAGGTGCTATGTCGGGTGACAGGGTTACAGCAGTCCGCAGTCCATTATCTGGGGGACTAATCCCCACACCCCCTGCTTCCTGGGCTCTCTCCACCGCCTCTCTTCAGCTCCCTCTTGCTCTCCTGCCTCTGTTGTTGGGCATGTCCCTTTCCCCCACCGTGACTGTGGGCGTGGGCCAGTCTCACCCGGGGGACGCTGTGGTTGTTGCAGGAGGACTCCAGGGCTGTCCCGGCTCCGCAGACGTCACCAGCATCAACGCCACGGGCATCACCCTCTCGCTGTGCTCAGAGGAGTCAGAGCCTGGCCAGGAAAGTGAGGGAGACCCGCAGAGGACAGAGTCAGGACCTGGAGGGCATGTGCCATCCCGGTGAGTGACAAGAGCAAGAGCCCTGGTGGCAGGAGGGGTGGGCATGGGGGTGCTAGGTGGGGAAGGAGACCCCCGGAGGGTGGCATGGCCGCCCTGAGTGCTCCCCAATCCCCAGCGGGTTCCTAGGCCCTGAGCAAGCGTGGCGCCCCTAACGCTCCTTTCCCAATTCTGTTTAGTCTTACGTGCCTGCTTATTCATTCGCTGAACAGCCACTGAATGGCCTCAAGCTCTAGCCATTGTGCTGGGCCCCGGGGCACAGCCACCAGAGTCCCAGCCCTCCAGGTGGGGTTACCAGTCTGAGAGGACTTGCTCCTCCTGACTCTGGGCTGGAAGCAACCAGATGCTGGGGACACTGAGCATTCACGTTTCCAGTCTCTCCCTCCTCCGTGAGGGGCCGAGACCTTGCCCTGGGGACCTCCTTGGCCTGGCCTCAAAGCCTGGTGAGCCGGCGCTGCAGCCGGGCCTGCTCTTCCCTGCTGCACGCCAGGCCGGTGAGCACACGGGCCACCCACACCCAGTGTCCACCTCCTGCCCGGCTGCTCCCTGGAGCCCCAGATCTGCACGTTCCCCGGGCACCGCCACCAGGCGCTCAGACACAGCGCTCAACTGCTCCCCCACGTCCCCTCCCGCAGACACGCTGCCCTCTCAGGCCCGGGTGGGTTGTGGTGGCTGTCCCCTCTGTTGTCTCCCACGCTCCCCCACTGGCGCTGGCTCCCCGTCTACTGCCCTCCTGCACTCGCTGCGTCTCTGTGTCTCTGCGTTGCTGGCTTCAGAGCCCTCCCTGCACTCTGCCTTCACGAGGGCTGGCAATTCCTTCTCCACACAGGAGTCGGGGGATCTTTTTAACACCTTAGTTAACTGGCCTCATTCTCCTGCTTACACTCTGCAATGTTTTCCCCTCTCACTCGGCGTAGAATTCTAACCCCTAACGGAACTGATCTTGCTCAGTGTAGCCTGCCTCGGCCTGCCCGCCTGACCCCATCTGGACTTCTGTCCCCTTCTCGTCACGTACGCCCAGCCCAAGTGGCCTGGTGCCTCTATGATCCTGAACACACCGAGCCTTTCCTGCCCCAGGGCTGTGGCACAGCTGTCCCTGCACCTGGACTCCTCACTCCGGTCGGCAGCGCTGGCTCCTTCTTGCCACCGGCTCTCAGTTTGAAGCTCGTCTTCCCAGGAGAGCCTCCCTGGCCACTCTGCTTACAGCGAGCACCTGGTCTCCCTCTGCTGCACCCCACACATCGGCTGCCGATGGTTTCTCTCCTTTGTTTGCTGGTCTGTTGTTTCTTAGCTCCTGAGAGTGAGGACCTTGTTTGTCTCGCATACTGCTTACCCCGGGGCCTAGAAGAGGCTGGCAGACAGTGAGCCCTTAACAAATACTGAATGAATGAACGAATAAGTGAGTGAACCCATAGCTGAGTGGTATGGCACACAAGCCCGAGCTCTTCTCCCTAAAGCTACCCAAGCAGAGCATCTGGCAGAGGCTCACTCAGCCTTTCTGCAGCCCGGGTGTCAGTTCCTGGCCCCAAAGGGCTAGAGGCATTGGTGGCAGCCATCTGGGGCCCACGGGACCCTGGGTGCAGTCTCCCAGCCCCATCCAGCACACCTCATGTCCACGCTTGTGTTGCAGAGCACGGCCAGGGGCCGGCGCTGGACCTGGCTCACCCTCAGCCGCCCCGGCTGACAAGAGCAAGAGGAGGAGCAGCATCGTCTCCACCCTGGGGCTGAAAAAGTTCTTCTCCGCCCTGGGCCAAAGTCCCCGGCCCAAGCTGGGCAAGTCCCGCAGCTATAGTGTGGAGCAGCTGCACCGCACTGACACTGGCCCCCCGTCACACGCCAGAGCCCCGTCGCTACAGTCCCTGCACCTGGTGAGTCCCCAGGGTCCTGGCCGAGGGGCTGTGAGTCCAGTGGTGGTGAAAACAGGGAAGTGCTGGGGATGCCTCCCAGGGAGCCCCAGGTGGAGGCAGGGAAGCTGCTGGCGTCCCCACAGTGGGCCTGTGAGACCCAGGCTCCCCGGGACATGGGGTGGGTGGGCAGCGTCCCCACCTCCACTCCTCCACCCAGCTGCCCGCACCTGGGCCCATCCTAGACTCCTCTCTCTCCCTCTCCCTCAACTTTGCCACCTCTGCAAAGTGCTGGAGAGTTGATGGCCTGATCATTCCAGAACCTTTTCCATGGCCACAGTGATTCTCAGAGTCCAGGCACAAATCACTTCACGCCTGCATCACCTCAACAGCCTCTTGACTATCCTCCCTGCTGGGGTCCTTCTCCACGTGGCTTCCAGAGTGGACTCTCTGATGTGCAAATCTGGCCATGCTGCCCCCTTGCTGAACATCTCTCTCAAGTTCAGACCACATGGAGTTGCCACAGGGTTTCTGTGGTCAGTCTGCTCTCGTCCCTCGTCCCTCTCCTTTCAGCGCTCCTGCCCCCCTTGCCGTTCTGTATTTGGGTCACGCACTGTCTGACTGTGAATCTGCACCTGAGATATCCCCCCGCCTTCTCCAGCTGCCGAGATCCGTTCTCCCATGAACACCTTGGGCTCCCCCTGGAAGCCAGGCCCAACCTTTCTTTGGGCTGAGCCGGGGCCCTGCTCTGTGTCCCCATTTCTCCCTGTGCTTCTCTTTCATGACACTTGTCACATGGCATTTTAACAGATGTTTGCCTCTCCCCCTCACTGGAGTGTGAACTATTTGAGGGAACAGCACTCGATCTGTATATTCCCAATACTATGACAAGGCTAGTACGATATCTCCATAGACACCGAGTGGACGAATGAGTGAGTAGTGAACGCAGCACAGCTCCCTAAAGTCCTCCTCCCACGTGCTGGAGTGTCAGCAGCCGACAGCTGTACACTGGGCCACGGTGTACTTTTTTTCTGGGCCTGTAGTTTCCAGGTATTCAGTTCCTCCTCCTCCTGCCCCTGCCCAGGCAGAACAAAGTAGGTGAGCGTGCTTTGGGGCACCGGAGCCTCCCATTTCCCATGCTGCGGGGGGAAGAGAACGCAGGCCGAATGAAAACCCCACGGACGGTCTTTCAGCAAGGATGGTCCCTGCTACGTGGCCGGTGCTCTGTGACGATCAGTAGTTGCCAGTTGAATGAGTGAAGGCAAAGGAACGAGCAGCAGCTGTAAGCGGGGGAAGGTAGCAGCAGTGACTCGCGCTCTGGGAGTCACTGTCCGCGTGAAGTCAGATTCGTCCGGTGTGCGTCTGAGCTGTGGCACTCAGACTCATTGCCGTCATAACTTCCATGTCTGTAAACACCTCGAGGGAAGGACGACACTGTTAGCGCACTGCAGAAGCTTATGGGCCGTTCAAGCTGAGTCTGCCAAGGTCGTCTGGCCCAGAAAGGCAGGGAACAAGAGCAGGGAGACTGAGCAGCAAAGGGACATTTTCAAGAACTGAGAAAAGGAAGAAATTTTCAAAAAAAGAAAACAGAAAAGAAAAATCTGCCTCACTCAGAAATGTCCATGACATAGCTCAGGGTGCAATGCTTGCTGTTGGCATGTCGCGCTGCCCAGCGTGAGTTTGGTGAGGAGGTGCTTGGCCGGCTTGCTCTCATTCTGCCCTCCCGCGTGGTGGGCAGCCGCCTTGCTCTCCCGCACCCACGCTGGCTCTCCTATGTCCTCTCGTGGGCTGCATCCCTTCCCACTGGGCCACTGAGGCTGCATCTGGAAGGTTCTCCTTCCTTCTCCTCTCTCCTAGGACACTCCTGCTCATCCTTCAGGTCAGAGTTCACCATGACTTCTCCCAGGAAGCCTTCTTGAGCTCGGGTACGAGGTCAGGCCCCCTCTTACGCTTCTCCAGCACTTACTTCTTTAGAGCACTCTTAGTCCATTCAGGCTGCTGTGACAAAATGCTGTAACCTGGTGCCTTATAAACAACAGAGATTTATTTCTCATAATCTGGTGGCTGGAAGTCCACAGTCAGGGTGCCAGCAGAGTCAGTGTCTGATGAGGGCTTCCTCATACGGGGCTTTCTTCCCACCGTACCTGATATGGTAGAAGGGGCAAGGGGTCTCCGGGGCCTCTTAGAAGGGCACCAGTCCCATCCATGAGGCCTCTGCCCTCATGACCTCATCACCCCCCGTATGAATTTGGGGGCATCACAACATTCAGCCAATAATAGCACAATTCCAGATATAATAAATAATGTGTGTAGTATTTATTTAAAAGTCTGTGTCTCCCCACCTCTGTCACCAATGCCCCACCCCCCACCTTCAGAATTCCCTCTAATTGGGTCATTTTCTAGAACACAGATCTGATCTTATCACCCATATTACCATCACTCAGGAGCTCCTTGGCAGGGTACATCAGGTCTTTGTAGGTCTGGCCACCTGGCTCCAGCTGTCCCCCACAACTTCTTTACCCTGGCCACCCAGACCACATGTATGTTCCAGAACATACCACACTTTCTATCATCTCTTTCTGCCTTTTCATATACTGCTTGCTTTTGCCCAGCACCCTTTGACATCTCTCCACCCCCTCCTGGAGGGCTCTTGCTGCAGCGTCAGCTCCTCTAGTGTCCCAAACCTCCATAGGAGCCATTCTCTCCTGCACGTCATTGTACTTTTATCATGCACTGAGAGCCTGTAACTTATCTGTGCTCAGCCCTGCCCCCATCATTCTGTGAACTCCTTGAGGGAATTTTTGTCTTATCTATGTTTTTATGTGCAATATTTTAAGGTTCATAATTAGATAAAAGTTTTTGAACAAAAGTGATCATAAAATAGGTACTAAAGAATCACAAAATAATATTTGGGATCTTAACTCTAAAATAGTATCTATTATTCTATAATTCATTTGCATTCACTTTATTCTTAATCAATGACAAAATGAGCATTTCTTAATCAATGACATAATTAGTATTATAGCACTAAGTTGTCATTTCAGGCAAAATTAGGGGGAAAAAAACCCCAAAACTTGAAGCCTCAGCTGGCCTGGGTAGGCCCATGTCCTTAAGTAAGTTGTGATGATGATTCCTACTGAGCACTTGGAAGAAATGACAGAAGCCTGTGGGGTCGGTTTCTTAGAGGGCTCTCAGGGTCATGGTTAGGATCACGTCCTCTGTGACTTCCTCCCAGGTGGCTTTTCTCACCTGCAATTCTGGGCCTTCCCCATCAGGTGTCGCCCTCACACCAACGTCGGAAAGCTGCCTCTTTTCAGAACCTCCATTCTCTGCTGAGCGGCAAAGGGGATCGGTCCAGCCTCTACCTGGTAGAGGGCCCAGGGGACCACCGTGCGGCTGGCAGGTAAGAGTGGGCACACATGGCTGGGAGGAAAACTCAGACTATGGCCAGGGAGCTATAAGCTTATCTCCTTCCAGCCTCAGCATTGTGGCGCTGAGTAGGGCCCTTTAAGAGAAAGGGAGGCAGGCGGCCTGTGTCCCTCTCCTTCAGCACATCCCATGTGGACAGACAAGGTGCCATGGAGTCTCGGAGCCTTATCTCTGTGCCCTTGCCCTGTGCAGTTGAGCTCTGAGAAGGCCTGGGGTTGCTGGAGGAGGTAGAGTTGGCAGGTTCGATGGCATCAGTCCTGGCATGAAGTCCCTGACCGTGGCCTTCCAGCCACCAGATTATGTCATCAGATGGCATCAGTCTGCCATCTGATGACATCTTGAAATCAGGTTCCGAGAGTTTCCTTAGCCCGGCTAAAGATCCGATTAAACACACAGAGACAGGGACCCCCAAAGAGGCTCTTGACCTATGACCTGCTTCAACAAATCCCACCCTCTCAGACAAGGCACTCTAGGCTAGCTGCTCTTATCTGGTCCGTGGATGGACTTCAGGGGTTCCGTTAACTCCTGGAAATTTTATATGAAATTATAATTTCCATCAGATTCTCATAGAGGCCTCTGTACCCAAACATGGAGAAAACACTGCTTTGGGGAGGGGGTGCTCTCCGGTTCTGCAGCAGGCTCTGGGGCGCCTCGGACAGCTGTGGGAACCCCCCAGTCTTGGCCTTAGCTGGCTCTTTTTGCTGATTGAAGTCAGTGGAACTCCAGCCTCCAGTGCCAGACTCTGAGGTTTGAGACGCCTTGGTCACCTGTGAGCCAGGGAAGGGCTGGGCCTGGCGCCTGACCTTCTGCCCCTACCCTGTCTCTGGTCCCCTCGTAGGCCAGCCAAGGCCCCGCCCCGGCGTGCCCTCAGCCTGGAGGACGTGGGCGCCCCCAGCCTGGCTCGCTCCGTGGGCCGCGTGGTGGAGGTCTTCCCGGATGGCACCAGCCAGCTGCAGCTACAGCGCTCCCCGGAGGGCACTTTTGGCTTCTGTGTGGCTTCAGGGAATGGGCGCCGCGACTCAGGTACACCCTGTCCCCTTTCAGGGCCCCGCAGCCCTGGGGCCTTAGCAACACAGCAGGGCCTTCTGGCTGCGGTCAGAGCCTTCCTGGTTCTTGGCGAAGCAGTGCGGTTCTATGAATTCAGAAGAATTCAGAACGCCTCTGGGCTAAAGGACTAGAGTCCTCCCCCCAGGGGCTCTGTCTGAATTGTCCAGGGCCACCTCGGAGCCCGCAGCTGCAGTGCCTTTGCTCTGGGCAGCTGCAGCTGAGAAGGCCTGGCGCGCAGGAGCGGGTAGAGTTGGCAGGTCTGCCTCCACTGTCCCCTTGCTGTCTGATGACATCTGGAAATCAGAATCCGGAAGTCGCATTTTCAGAGACCCAGAGGGAAGCTGTCTGTGCTTGCTGGTCTCGGCATCCCTTTGATGTGGCCGGTGCGCAGAAACGGATCCCTCCTTCCAGCCGCGGAGGCCGGCTGGGCCGTGGAGCGCCTGCGGCGATGCTCAGATGCACCCTGGCCCCAGGCCCCTGGCTGGCTCGGGCAGTGAGGAGCCGGGACATCACTCCCCATTGCACCCGTTCTCAGCCTCGCCCCCTCCATGAGTCCTTACCCCACGTCTGTGGTCCAGAGTGCACCTCAGGGCAAGGGACCCCGAACCATATTCCCGGTGAGAGGAGTAGGGAGGAGGGCCGCTGTGCTGGGGCGGGGAAGGAGGGGAGAGGAAGGAAGGAGAAGGGAGACACACACAGAGAGCGCTCAGCGGCCTGCTGTGGCGGCTCCGCTGGGGAGAGCTGGCTCTGCGCTTTGATCTCCTGGGTCAGAGTTGTTTAGCCTGGAAAAAAATCTGCCTGCTGCCACATTTGCAGACTTCAGCATGAGTTTTTGTGTTTGTTCCATCATTCCCTGTTTCAGCGAATACACACTGTGCACTTGCTACGTGTTGAAGATATTAGGGATACAGCAGTCAGTGCAGCGAAGTCCCCGTCCTCATGAGCATACGTTCCAGCGGGGAGCTAGACCGCATCCACAGACAGTATACGCTTACACGTTATGTGTTGCGTGTGTCAGACAGGGAGAATGCTGAGAAACACACAGATACAGCAGGCATGGCAGCTGCTCCCATAGACAGGAGGGTGGGGTGGCTTTCTGAGAAGATGACACACAAGCAGAGATGTGGATGGACTGAGGGAGGAGCCACGTGTGGGTCTGGGGAGAGCACTCCAGTCTGTGCGGACAGCAAGTGCAAAGGCCCTGTGGCGGGGGCGAGTTTGGCTTGTTGGAGGAACTGCGGTGGGATCAGGCTGGACATTGCAGAGTGGGGCAGGGGTGGAAGGAGCTGGGCTCAGGGTGGCGGGCTGTGCCCCTGCGAGGGGCTTTGGCTTTCTGCCGAGTGAGACGGAAGCCACGGGAGGGCTCTAAGGGGAGGACGGGCACTCTGATGTGCGCCTGCAACAGGGCTGCTGACGCTGTTGAGAACGGACTCTAGCGGGACAGACGACGCTACAGCCAGGAAGCCCAGTTTTAAAGCTATTGCAGTAGTCCAGGAGAGACGGTGGCCATGGAAATGGTGACAAGCGGGTGGATTCCGGTTGATTTGAAGGTAGTTTTGCCTGAGTTTGCTGACGGATTAGACATGAGCGTGGGAGGAAGAGAGGACAGATCTCTCCCCACTCTAGACCTCAGGAGAGTCAAATGCCTGTCCTCACAGGGAGGTGGCATTTGGGAACACAGACTGATCATCAGAAAATACTCCCCAGGCTGCCGGCCACCCGCCCATTCCCGTAGCCTCGTCTCCCGCAGGGAGGCAGGACAGGCCCTCCGAGACAGCCTGTGAAGTCACAGAGCGAGACAACATAGCAGGTTTGTCCTCCAGCACCTCTGCTGGCTGTGTGACCTTGAGTAGGTGACTCACTCCCTCTGAGCCCCAGTTCCCTAATCTGACAAAGGAAGATAATAAAAGCTACCCGGAGTCATACGGAACATTTGGTAAGGGGTACAGGACAGTGCCTGGCTCGTCTCTTCCCTTCCCTCTTCAGAAAGAGAAGGTGTATTTGGGGACAGAACCCCAGACAGGGACCAGCGTGATCTGCATTCATCCGTCAGCCTGGGAACGTCTACGACAGGGCATCGCACTCTGCACTCTGCCCCCGCGGCCTCCCCCCAGGTCCCTCTTGGCCTCTTCGTAGGTGGTGGAGCCTCTCCCCCTTCACCTGTCGCAGAGCTCTGATGGGCAGAGGTCTCTAGTGACCCCGGGCTCCCCGGGTGGCCTCACCTGGGCTGGCGCCAGCTCTCCCCTACCCTGCTGGTGCTGTCCTGGCCCTGCTGCCACAGTGGCCCCTGGATGTCGCACAGGGATCCCCACACACAGGAAGCGTGCTCGGTGCCAGGCCCTCCTTGCCACACGCCGCCCTCCTACAGCCCAAGGTCGCCTCCGCGAGCCTCAGCGGGGCCGAGAGCTGGGGCTGGTTCAAGAACTTACTTGAACTCACTGCAAGTAAGTTCACTTGCGGCCACTTACTCTGTGTGAGCCCACGCGCACGGCAGGCTTTGCCTTGGCTTCTACTTGCCTGTGACAGATCACGCGTCCTGACAAAGGCCACGTCCAGCAGACAATGACTGCCTACAACACCAGTCTCTGTCATATTTTTGTCAGGACTTTCAGTTGCGAAACCTACCCAGGTCTCCCTAGATGGCCGGAGCGACTTCAGTGTCTGGTCCAGCTATGGCCGTGTCCTTCCGAGCTGTGTCACTAGTCCCCACCCGCGTCCTGCTGTACGGCAGCCACGTCCCCGGGCTCACCCTGGACCTGTTCTCCCCTGCTCTCTCCCCGAGCCACCAACACTAGACAGGGCAGGCAGGCGGCTCAAACTCCGGATAGAGAAGGCAAGAAATAGGGCCAGGGTGAGAGAAAATGTGCACACGAGGTGACAGACATACTTTGTCAGGGGACACTGAGCCCCGCAGAAAAGGCCCAGCATGGCGGAGAAGCTGGAAGGAGCAGGGGCAGGGTACGTGCTGGGGCTGGATTTGCTAGACCAGAGCTGCAAACCTGCAGGGGTCTCGGTGGAGGATGCATTTTCACACCCAAGCCCCAGAGGGTGGGCTCTGAAAAGCCTGACCTCCGTGGGGACCAGAAGCCGGGCTGCACCAAGCTCCTCCAGGGCTGGGCGGACCAGAGAGAGGACTTGCACCAGTCCCAATGTCGAGGCAGACATTGACAAAGGAGACCAGACCTTTTAGGGCCCCACTAAGACCCTGATTCTAGGCAAAGGAAGTGGAGGCAGTGACAGGGGAGCAGTTGCCTCACGTGTTTAATGTGGGGCTGGCCCGTCTGGCTGGGGACAGTGGGGGTGTCTGGGGCAGGCCGAGTGCGCTGGTGAATCCTGCTGGCAGCCGCACCGGCGCGTGCCCTGCAGTCCTGTGGCGCACTGGGCTGTGCCCTCAGACCCTGTGACCCCAGCATGAAGCATGGCAGTGGGGGCTGCAGCCCTCCTGGGGACAGCCTGCCCCAGGAGGCTGACAGGCTGTCTTCTGTCAGCTGGGAGCAGCCCAGGGGATTGGACAGGCTTCCAGCCGCAGGGGCCCCCTCAGCTGGGGCCACAAGAGGCTGGGGACACTCTCTGGCCAGCCCGAGCCGGGGCCTCTGCTCCACTGGGAGCCGGAGCCCAGACACAAGCAGAGAGCAGGCCCCCCCGGCTCACGCTCGGCCCTTCTAGACCCAGGGAATGGTGGCGCTGGCCGGGGGGCCTCTTTTGGGTGGAGGAGGGGCGGAAAGAAGAGGAGAGGGAGCCACCTCGGCTTTTAAATACGTGGTAGAATTCTTACTTTCCCTGGGCCTTGGCTCAGATGCCCACAAATCCTACGTGAGGAAACACATCAGAGCAAGACTGAGGCCGGCCTTTCTTTGATGGCACTGAAGCTAGGTGGCTTCCATCTGGCCTCAGCCTTCCGCTGTCCGGGAGGGCAGGGCTGGGTCCCATTACGGTCCCACCTAGCACGGCACCGGGCACCTGGTAGGTACTGTTGTTAATTTTTAAAGATTATTTTCCTCCCTGTTCTACAGTGAAGCTCATTTCAGAAAAGATAAGGTCAGCTCACTCACACTGGGATAGAAACGAATAACAGCAGTGGAAAGCACTGTCTGCACTCAGCAGCATCTAGAATGAAGCTGCACGTTGAGGCAGTTCGCTGCATGCGCGTGTGGCCAGCTGTGGTCGGGAGGTGGCGCGGGGTCTGTGTGTGTGTGTGTGTGATTTGCGTTTCATCTGCTCAGTTCTCCCGTTTTCCCTTGCAGGGATCTACGTGCAGGAGATGGCGGACGTGGGCACGGCCAAGCTGTACTCGGGGCTGCTGGGGGTGGGCGACGAGATCCTGGAGGTGAACGGGGCCAAGGTGGCGGGGCTGGGCGTGGCGCACATTAGGGAGCTCCTGGCCCACTCGGAGAGCTTGTCAATCCGTGTCCTGAGGCAGAGGCCTGCCCCACGGTGACCCAGAAGTGCTGTTGCCCTCAGAAGCCCTGAGCCGCCCTGGCTGGGAATGTGCTACGCGGAGCTGCTTTGTGACAGAAACATAGGTCTCGGTGGCCTCTGTACCCGTGGGCTGTGGAGGGCTTCTGTGGTTGACTGGCCCCCGGGAAGCAAGGAGGCTCTCTGCGTATTGTGTTTAAGGCCACTGATGCAGGACTGGGGAAAGAGAGTGTGGGTCTGTGGTCTCCTGAGCGGAGGTGGCGTCAACTGCCACTCGCGCCTGGGCGCAGCCTCCCTGCCTGGACGCTCCCGCCAAAGCGCCCCGGCCGCACTCCGGAGCCAAAGGTCAGGTGATGGCACATTAGCTGTGAGCCCTCCGGCCCCCGCCACGTTCTTCCACGCTGCCACGCAGCCCCTGCTGTTCCCCCAGCGGCGGGCAGGTGTCCGCGGTGACAGCCTTACAGCCCTGACGCATGCTCCCGACCGGCACTCGGACCGCGTGGCCACACCAGAGCTTGTGTCCCTCCTGGGCGAGAACATCTGGGAGCCAGAACCCTAAACATTCCGGGAAATCTTTATGACGGATACAACTGAAGTGACAGAAGGAAACCAAGACCGACTTCAGGGCAGTGCGGCTGTGGTGGCCGGGACCCAGCCCGCCGCGCCCTGCCCCTGCCGCTGCCGGCGGAGGCGTCCTGCGGCCTGGCCTGCGAGGGCCTCTGTCTTGGAGCTGGTGTCCAGGGTGGAGGCAGGCCTGTGGCTGCGAGGGGCGGTGGCAGTGGGAGTGGATGGCGTGTGTCAGTCTTAAATTATTAAAAATCCAAGCTGAAGCTTCTTCCACTCTGAGCTGCTGAGTTCTGAGCTGGACACTGGCTTGCGGGATGGGGCACAGGCCTGGGGGCTGCCCGAGGGTCAGGGCTCCGCCAGTGCCAGACACAGGAGCCCCAGGCAGCCCCTGGGCGGGAGGGGGAGCCCAGAGGGTTTATGGCCGCAGGGAGGGTGGAGTTGGGGAGCGGTCAGCTCAGGCCCAGGGCCTTGTAGAACTCGCCAGGGCGCCCGCTCTGGGGGGAAGAAAACAACCCCAAACCGAAACCACACAGCCCTCCGCAGAATGGGGTTGAAATGAGTGTCAGGGGCAGCTTTTTCAGGCAGGAAGGACACTGAGGGAGGCATGTGGCCCAAGGACAAGGGTGTGAGGGGGGTCGGTGGTTCATGCGAGTTGTAAGGATTGAACTCAGGGGGTGTGGAAGGGGATCGGACTGGGGGGGGACTGTGCCAGGGTGTGGGGACTTGTGGAGGGGGAGGGGAGAACTGGAGGGGAGGGGACGAACTGTGGAGGGGGAGAGTGAGGGGGACTCGTGCGGGGGAGGGGGAGCACTGTGAGGAGGGGGGAGGGAGAACTGTGGAGGGGTCGAGAGTGGAGTGGGGACTGGGAGGGTGGATGTCTCGGGGACTGTGCAGTCGGGGTAGGGAAAACTGTGGAGGCGGGACTGTGGAGGGGGGGGAGACTGTTGGGGGGCATGAGTGCGGGGCCGACTGTGCAGGGTTGGGGGATGTGGAGGGGGGAATGGAGGGGGGGATTTTACAGGGGCTGTGGGGGATATGGAGGGGAGGGAGACTGTGGAGGGGAGAATGGAGGGGGGACTGTACAGGGAGTCGCTCGCGGGCTGTGGAGGGAGAGTGAGGGGCTGGGTTCTCTGCCCAGGGCCTTGGCAGCAGGAGCCAGTTAGAACCCTCCCTCCCTCTCTTATGCCCCGGAGGCAGGGGTGAGGGGATTTCAGGGCTCTGGAGCCAACTGGGTAGGGGTGAAGGAGGAATGAGGAGGGTCTAGCAGGTGAGCATTGGGGCCAGAGGCTGGGAAGAGGGCACCGGGGCACCCCAAAGTGAAGAAATGGTCCTGCAGTAGGAAACTACAAGTGTGGGGGAACCCTGGCAGCTCCTGTACCCCAATTCCTCACACTGAGATAGCAAAACTGGAGGAATGTCACATTGCAGAAAGCTTCTAGGGGCTCAGGACACCTCTGTTCTGTGTGTGGCAAGGACAGCTTGCCTTCGCAGCTGGGAAGAATTGGGAGTGGGGGGCTTGCGGCTGGGAGGGGCAGGAAAAGGCGTCGAGTATCCAGCATGTGCGGCTCTTACCCGCCAGGTGCTGGGGGCTTGACATATTTAGTCCTTAAAATAGTCCTGCCAGGTGTGTCCTGCGCGCCGTCTTCATTTTACGTCTGTAGGGAACCACGTTCACTGGCAAGGACAGGGCGTGGCACACTGCCATCCGCTCTTCCCACTGCAGTCCCCGCCCCATGCCGGGAAAGGCTTGGTGTTGGGGGGCGGGAGGGAGGCGCTCAGGGTAGCAGTGGGGGCTCCCCATCTCCAACAGTGATCTCTTTCCAAGGCATCCCAGTTCCTCCCTAGGGTAAACTGAGGCTGGAGGCCCCACCAGGTGGGTGGGAGGGGACCTCAGTTCCTCTAGCCTCCTGTCTCAGGTCACCATCTGCTCTGCCTGCGAGCTGCTGCCCTAGAAAGCCTGGTCCAACCCCGCCTGGCACACCGGACCCTCAGAACCTTCCTACCCAGACCTGGGTTTCCTACCCAGGGCCAGGCCAGCGCCAGGCAAGAGCTGACGACGTGGAAAAGAGCCGCTCGCCCCCAACGGCTGCAGTCCCGGCGGGCGCACAAACATGGTACACGGTGCGCAGGAGGAGCTGGTGCCTCGTGGAGCCTGGCAGGGACAGCCGGGGAGGGGCAGTGACCACGGGGAAGGGAGGCTTACCGACGAGGTGCGCCCAGCAGGGGTTTTGTACAATGAGTCGGGACTCAGCGGGGGCGCGGGCGCTGGGACACAGTACAGAAACGGCCATGTGCAAAGCTGTGGGTGCCCCCTGCATCTGGTATGACCTTCCGCGGTTCACAGAAGGCACCAGACATGGGGACTACACGGAACAGAAAGTGGCACTACCTTTGCCTCGGACATGTCAGTCCGCTTGGCGGGGGGTGGGGGTGGCGTGGGGGGAGGTGTGTGTGGCAATTTCAGAAGCCACCAGCAGGAGCAGCCACCTCTTCACGGCTCCTTGTTGTCCTGGGAGGGAGGTCTTAGGTCTGTCGTCCGCCCTGTGACCAGGAGGTGACTGCGCGCTGGCTTGGCCGCCCACACCCCCAGCACTACAGAGGCCACTTTGCTGTGACACTGTTGCCGCCTGCAAGTCGGGACAGCAGCGCGGCTGCGGGTTCGCTCTGCACCGCCCGCTCCGCGCCAGCTGCGCCCTCCCGGCCACGCGGCCGCCCCGGAGGGTCCCTGCCACACCACGTCCTGCCAGCCTTTGTCGCGCCCGCCCGCCGAGGTCTGCGCGCCGCCTCTGCCTCCGCGCCTGCGGGCGTGGAGAGGGCATCGGGCCCACTGCGCCACCTGGGGACGCCGCGGCCTTTGTGCCAAGGCCACTTCCACGAGGCAGGGCCTGGGGTCACGGGCTACTCAGAGCCATAGGGGGGGCTGGAGCCGGTTTGACGCCCCCCTACCACACACACAGCTCGGCACCGGCACCCCGGGAGAGGTGGGGTGATGCGGCTGTCACTTTGCCTTGAGGAACGCAGGGTTGGGGGACGCAGGAGGGCAGAGCGGAGCACAGCACGTGCCAGGCCCTGCTGAGAGGCCAGGCAGGGAGGACGAGCTGGGGGGGAGGGGGGCGGGGGATGGGAGGGAAAACGGGACCCAGGGACTCGCACGTCCGTGTGCAGCGAAAGCTGGGCGTGCAGGAGCGAGTGCCCTGTGTATGCAGGGTCCCCAGATCTCAGGCATGCCAGAGAAGTCGCAGGCTCAACTTGGGGAAACCAGTGAGAACCTGGGAATGCAGGGAGGTGCAGTCCTTATGCCATCGCTGGCCCTGCCCTGCCTGATCCGCGAATATTCTAAGAGTTCTGCTGGGGCCATTAAGGACACAATCCTGAATCCACACAGCAGCTCTGCCAGAGAAGGGGTGGGAGAGAGGGAGATTATGAATATGAGAATTTATCTCTGAGTTACAAAGGAGTCTTAAGCTCAAGGGTTAAATCACGTATCCAAGGTCACAGCAGCATATAATAGCGGAGGCTGGATTTGAACCCCGTGCTCTGAGACTCCCAGCCTGCCCTTCTGCCCTGCTGGGCCCCTCTGGGCTCTGCGCCCTTGGGGGCGTCTGGGCTCCGCTTCCGCTTCCGCTTCCCTTCCAGGAAGTGGGTGCGCGCTGGGGGAGCGCGGGCGGCTCACTTTGCAGAGCAGTGTTTCCCAGCGGCACGCACAGCTCACGCGAGGGCCATCAATTAAGCAATTTTGGGGTTGAACCCATCATTTAATTTAAAAAAAAAAATAGAAACAGGATAGAAAATATCAGCCTGCTTCGCACAAGGCAAAGGTAGGTTTTGTTTAGGAAACACTTCTGTGTGCATGTGGTGAGTTGTACTTTAAAGTGTGGTCATGACTTTGCTCTGAAGTGAGGCAGAACACTCTGGGGACCAGGGCTCAGGGAGGCGGCCACCGCGCCCCATCCCCCTTCTGCCAGCCTACTTCCTAGGTTCCCCTGCCGGAGGCTGAGGAAACCTCCCAGCCTGGCTCCTGGGGGAAGAGGCATCCTCTATCCTAGGACCCTGTCACCAAGAGGCCTGTGACCCAGAAGAGTGCAGTGACATAACTGTGGACTTCCTGGTCCTCCAGATTGGCTCTGGGCAGCAGGATGTGCACATGGGTCACATTGGCAGGGGCTTTGGTTGTTGGCTCTCGTTTCCTGCCAGCCCTAACTCCACCCGCTCATTCACCCAACCCATTCTCTTCCGCTTAATCCTGAGCCTTTGCCGGAATGCCCTTCCCCGTCCCCCCACCGAACCACTGGCAGCCTTCAAAGATACTAGAGATGCCAGTCCTGGGAAGCATTCTAGGACCCTGCGTGAGGACCTGGTCCCTCCCCTTAGCTCCCATGGGATCTTGTACCAAGGGCTCTTTGTGACTCTCTTCAGGTAGAACTGCTTGTTTATCTTCTACCAAACTTACCTGGCAACACCTGGACTTCCCGAGTCCATCTGCCAACCCATTTCCCACCCCAAATCCCCAGGCTAGTTCTGGGGCTATTCAAAAGGCCCTGCTGTCACCAGATCCCTTTCCCTCCCTCCCTCCCTCCCCGCGTCCTCTGTGAAGCTTCTCTTTCCTACAGAGCCAGAGCACCTGCTTAGAAATGGCAACAGCCTTCCTTGGCAAGCAGCTGCCCAGCTCTCCCCGGCTGCAGGTCTGGCCAGGTCGGAGTGCTGGCCCCCGAGGCAGGGGCTGCTGGGCCTGGCTCGGATACTCGGCCCGCGCAGCCAGGGCTTGCCAGCTGCCCTGCCAGTCCTGGAGGGGAGCCGGGGCCTTCCTGCGGATGCCAGGCTGCCCGGGGCCTGCCTTTGTCTTGTCCTTCTGCAGTCTGGGCTCAGGCCCCTACTCACAGTGTGGAGCTGCCCCTAGGGGTCTAGCCAGGTGCCAGGCACTGGGAAGAGGCCTGCCTGCCCTGCCCTTGGGATGCCACATCCCCAGGAGGAGACGGCTCCAGCTGTGAACAAAGACAAGCCAGCCTGCGGGGGCTGCAACGGAAGCCCCAAGGCAGGAGGCCCCACTCCGCTTATGGAGCAGAAAGGCTCCCAGCTCTGGTCCCCTGTGGTCCCCAAGCTCACCAGCCTCCAGCCGGCTCTGGTGGTAAACTCAGGAACACGGAGTGCCTGCAGTCCCGCTCAGATGCCACAATTTTCATGCTCATCCTGGGCTCTGCAGACTGAGTTTTCAGGCTTTTCTTGGTTTATGCAATAAGGGCTTTGGCTCACTTACTTTTTGCGTATTTCCAGCCAAATAAACAAAAGCTCCAAAACATTTGATCAGCGAGGCAGACCTGAGATCCTGGCCCAGCAGATTTCTTGAACTCCACAGCAGGCTCACAGCATCTGTGACACGGTCATGCCCAGGCCAAATGGTACCCACACTCCCTTAGCTGCTTCTGGCTCGGTGCTTCCATCACCACTGCCGGGTACAGCTGCTTTGACTCCTCTTCCCCCCAGCCTTATTCTACCGTTTCTCAGGTCAGAGGGACGGCCTAGCGAGACTCTGCTTCCCAACGCCAAATCATGGCGTCCTTTTTCTCTTAAGGGAGGCCTCGTACGGTCCAGTGTGACCTGCGCTCTCATCCTGACCCTCCCACTTGCCGGTGTCCACGGGCAGATGTCTCTACTGGTCCATGACTCAGTTTTCAGGTGTAAAATGGGCCTCAACAGTATTTCCCTCCTGGGAAATTGTGAGAATTAAATGAAAACAGTGTTTTGCCCTTCACCGTGTACTTACCCCTTGGTCAAAGACCTGCCCAAAACACCAGATTCTCATCAAATATTGGCCAGAAGAATCACTATTTAGATATCTAAATATTTACTATTTAGATACAGTGTGAACCGCTGTGACCAGACAAAGCATTTAATGGCGTGTTAGGGAGAGGGATGGGAGAGAGGAGGAGGAAACATCATTTTTAGAAGGTCAGAGAGGTTGGATTCAGGAGCACACGTCCACAGTGGCTTCTGGGGCCCATCACCCCCTCTCAGAGGCACGACTGGGCGACATTTGCTCAGGCTCTGCCTGTACCTGCACAGGCAGGAGCCACGGCCAATGTCCCGCCTGGCAGCACCTGTGTAGGCCAGCCCTGTTTCCAGCCAGCTGACAGAGGGAAGTGCCAAGGATGCTTTATTGATTTGAAATTTGTCCTCTTGGACAGTGACCTATTGTGGCAGCATGGGCAGTCCTTCCCTGCCTGTGAGTCTCATTTTTGCCTCCAGTCTTGCCTTTTAACATTTTCAACCCGAGTTTGACCTGAGACTTGCAGCCAGCGGGACCTTCTGATGACAGCACATCGTTTCGCTGCACAGCAGTGCCAGGGTGGAATCAGGGCGCTGATGGGACCCGACCCCTCCGCCTTGCAAACTGTCTCCCTCCGCCCAGAGCCTCGCAGTCATGCTTCTCCCGGGGCTGGGAGGAGGTGATCTGCTTCTATCAGGGCATCAATACAACCCCAACTCTCAAAATCGGTACTTGTTTCCCTAGTGGGGCTGGTCAGTAGTTTATCGGCCCTTACCGTTCTACCCAGTTGGTACAGCTTTGGGAGAAATCAGGCTGAGCACTTAGGAAGCACTGACAAGCCACTTTGTGTGCGAGCCCCTGGGGACACACAGCTGGTGGCTTCTTACCAGCTGTGTGACCTTGGGAAATGACTTCTCTGTGTCCCAGTATCCTCATCTGCAGATTTGAAGCAACAGATGAGACTTGGCATCTTAAGCATTACGTGTTAACACAGAGAAAGCACTTAGCGTGGTGCCTGGCGCACGGAAGGCCCTCGGTTAGTACCAGTGAGGATAATGGTGGCAAACGGAATGACAGCGATCTCTGCCCAGACGCCTTCTCCCACACAGAACTCGCGGCAGGCTCCTCCAACTACCAGCTCAGCCGGACAGGCCAGTGTCCATGTTTGTCAGCACTTCCGTAAGCCAGGATGAAGGACTCAGTTCCTTTGTGTTCTAGTCTGCTCCCCCAGGCTCCTTGCCACAACTGAAACTCTCAACTATGTGATATTTTAAATACATAGAATGGTTATTTTGGGGATAAGCATTCACATAACTTTCTCAGTGCAAGAAAGCACAATTTATAATTCAGATCGTCCAGCAGTCACAAACATTTCCTACCCCAGGCAGATGCACTTGTCTTTTATTAGTGGGGGTGGGAGGAGAGGGAGGGAGCTGGGTTAGGTACAAAAGCAACTAAAACCAAAAACAAGAAACAACCAATTAATTAGCCAAATAAAAAACACCCAGGACAAAGCTCATGGTCTCTCCATTTCTGTTTAGTACTGGGAAATATTCTTTACACATGATTTCAAGAGTAGAAATAAGAAACATTCCTGATGGACTTCAGGGTGTAAAAGTATCACTTTTAAGGATGGCTAATTGAGTTTTTGGTTTTATTTTACATAAGATTTTTTCTTTTTGTAAGTTTATAGCATCATCCAATTTTAGTTCACATCAGGATTACAATCAAAGCCATGGATGATGTTTTCTTTTGCAGAGAGATTTTACTGTGAAATCTAAAGCTGGTGCCGCTGTTGCACTGCTTCTCAGAGTGGAGCACTGGAGCCGCAGCAGAAGCCTGTGGGGCCCTGCTGAAAAGCCTGCAGCGCCCACCCAGAGCTGGAGATTCATTCAGTGGGTCGAAGGGGCCTGAGAATTGGCATTTCTAACAGTTCCCAGGTGATGAAGCCACTGGCTCCGCCCCACACCTGGAGACCCACCAAGTAGAGGAAACAAAGATCTGCATGTGGCCTGGGGCTGTAAACTTCTGGCACCGACTCTGGCCCCATCTCATTATGTGGAGGGGGGGCACCATCTGGAAATCACCCAGGCATTTGCAATTCTAATTCCTGATCCCACTTCTTCAGTGTGTACCTTCTAATTATTTAAAATTAAAACACTGTAAGTTTATCTATCCTTGGAAAAAATATAATGGTTTATTCCTGCTGAGTTTTGTCATGCATTATACATTCTGTTTTTGAATTGCACTAATTTCTAATTACAATGAGCCAGTGAAAGCATATTTCTACTTAGAAACACTGAATCCATAACCATTTACAGCTTGGATTCTTTGGTCGGTTCCTAGATGGTTTCAAGGCCACCCCACACCCCAGCATTCTCTGAAGTCTGTTTGTGGAGTGCTGAGCCCGCCTGTATCAGTTAGGAAGTGATCACCACGGGGAGCTAAAAGCAGTTCCAAACACTTATTAGTGGGACACCTGGCTGTCCCCTCACCCACACAGATGACAGGGCACAGATACTCTATTTTCCTGAGGATGAAGACATCTGCTTCTCCCAGAACAGACCTGGACTACTGGGTCACACTTGCCTTTCAGTAGTACCAACTCGGCTAAAATCTACTTTCTGCAGAACAGGAAAGAACAACCCTGAACTTGGTGCCACCCCAGGGCAGACAACTTGGCAGGAGCGGAGGGCTGGGCTGCCAATAAGGCCAGGGAATGGGGCCTTGGTCAGGGTTGTCTGACCAAGGCTGGGTTGTCTTAGTCCTAACAGCCTCCTGAATAACCAAGTGGCCTCCAGCTTTGATAACTTGTAACTTGAAACAAATTGGTAAAATACTCTCTTACAAGGGTCTGGCTGCAACTGGCAAACCAGGTGCAGGAAACGTTCATGTGGGACTCAGGCAGTAGGTAGGGCAGGCCACCAACAGCCACTGTCTATGCACAGTCAACATCAACCCAGCCGTGGGGAGGGGCACTTCTGGACAAATGTAGTGTCAGAAGGAAACAGCACCAACATGTTAGCTCACGGCAGAGGGAAACCAAGTCCCAAGTTTCTTCCTCAGCACCCACCCCCGTATCTCTCTGAGTAAAGAGACTATAATGTAACGAACTCCCAGACAATGTAGATTGCAGCAGCCTGTCCAAGATGCCACTACAACTTTCAGAGCTTCAGTGATTATCCAAAAAGCAAACCACATCACACAGCCCGTTGTGAGGAGTAAGCACGCCAAGGTCCTGTTAGTCTACTCCAGGGATATGGCTGAGGTCGGCTTAAAGTGGCTTGTCCCAGAGAGCGTGCAGTTCCCAATGGCCGAGTGGAGAATACAAAGTGCCCATGACTTCCCTGTGTGCTGCGATGAGCGGTGATTGTTTCCCCTCTAACGAGCTAAATGATCTCACGTCCCTCTGAGTCTGCCCTTAAAGACAGTAACTACAGAACTGAGCTATTTTGGAGTTTCACCCTCACCCTGGGTTTGCAAGCACTGGCTTCAGTCATGAGATTCCCAGTAGAGCTACTGAGGTCTGAAGGACAGCTCTACTCTACTCAAAGCTCTCTTGGGTTTCTGGATTCTACACCAGACAGCAGGTTCCAGCGAGCATTACCAAGTAGTAAACAGGTGAGAACGGCATCCTCTTTTACGTACAAGGGACCAATTTGGGCCCCAAAAGAAAAGAATAAGATCTCATTATTTTAAGCATAAGCATATTTTTGAAGGCTGGGAGGTGGGTAAGGGCAGCTGGACATTAAAGAAAGGCCACCTTTATGATAACTACGGGAGCTGATGCGGTTGTTAATTAGCTAGATTTAGCTGTTCCACAACGTATCGACAGTAGTCATCCCTTATCCGAGGTATTGCTGCCCAAGGTTTCAGTTACCAGAGGTCAATCTTGGTCCAAAATGATTAAATGGAAAATTCCAAAAATACACAACTGATGAGTTTTAAATATTCTGGGTAGCATGATGTCACACAGTCCCTGCCAGGGACACGAATCATCACTTTGTCTGGCGTATTCACATGTGTGGATGCTACCTGCCTGTGAGTCACTTAATGGCCATCTAGGTTATCAGATCCACTGTCACCGTGTGGCAGGGCTTGTGGTCAAGTCATCTTATTTTACTTAATAATGGCCCCAAAGAGCAAGAGTAGTGACTTGGCAATTCGGATATGCGAAAGAGAAGCCATAGAGTGCTTCCTTTAACTGAAAAAGTGAAAGTTCTCACCTTAAGTATGGAAAAAAGAACACTGCTGAGGTTGCTAAGCTCTATGGTAAGAAGGAATCTTCTATCCCTAGAATTATGAAGAAGGAAAAAAAATCCCTGCTAGTTTTGCTGCTGCACCTCAAACTGCAAAAGTTGAGGCTGCAGTGCTAAGTGCTCCCTTAAGATGGAAAAGGCATTCCATTTGCGGGTGGGAGACATGGACAGAACTGACCGTAACTGGGTCCCAAGGTTTCAGGAATCCCCGGGGTGCCTTGGAATATACCCCACGCCCCACCGAGAAGGGGGATACCGTAGTGATATTTAGCCAGTAGAAAAAGAATAAGAAAATGGTTAACAGAGGTGGTTGGTTTGGTATAACAGGAAAAGCACTGTGTTTTTTTTTTTTTTGAGACAGAGTCTCGGTTTGTTGTCCAGGCTAGAGTGAGTGCCATGGCGTCAGCCTAGCTCACAGCAACCTCAAACTCCTGGGCTCGAGTGATCCTTCTGCCTCAGCCTCCCGAGTAGCTGGGACTACAGGCATGCGCCACCATGCCCGGCTAATTTTTTATATATATATCAGTTGGCCAATTAATTTCTTTCTATTTATAGTAGAGACGGGGTCTTGCTCTTGCTCAGGCTGGTTTTGAACTCCTGACCTTGAGCAATCCGCCCGCCTCGGCCTCCCAAGAGCTAGGATTACAGGCGTGAGCCACCGCGCCCGGCCAAGCACTGTGTTTTTTAAAAAGTTTTCTCGGGAGGTCTGGAGGTTGAGTCCTTACGGTTCTAGCTCTGACTGTCCTGGTGTGTGTTGGGGGGTGGGGTCAGGGGAAGGCTGTTTACCACTGGGATCCTCTGTGACCCGTCTTTCTTCTTTGCCTCCTTCCCAGGGACTCATTCTCTGAGATATTTCCGCCTGGGCGTGTCAGATCCTGGCCAGGGGCTACCTGAGTTTATTTCTGTTGGCTATGTGGACTCTCACCCTATCACCACGTATGACAGCGTCACTCGGCAGAAGGAGCCAAAGGCCCATGGATGGCGGAGAAGCTGGCGCCTGATCACTGGGACAGGTACACGCAGCTGCTGAGGGGCTGGCAGCACGCGTCCCTGATGGAACTGAGGAACCTGCAGAGGCGCTACAACCACTCAGGTGTGACATGGCAGACATGCATGCTGTCCCCACCAGCCCCCACCCAGCAGACAGGCCCCTGGGCTGACCTCCCGTGAGAGCAGCTGCTGACTCACACGCACTTGCTGTGGCTTTTGGCAAATCCTGGGAAACTGGGTCCATGAGTTCAGTGCCTCCCATGTGCCTTGTGCCTCTTCCCAGTGGTCCTTCTCCCCAGGAGCCCTCTGTCCCCCCATCCCCATTGCATTCTCATTCAGGCTCTGGCATGCAACTCCTAATGAGTCCTAGTGAGTCTGTGTCTCACTTCCTGGTGGCCAGGCTCAGTGATCTGCTGCTTAGCATAATGACACTAACTTTCCCAGGGATATTTCTGGCTCCTGCCCCTCTCCCTCCTCCACCACACTCAGAATAGCCATAAAGTTTATCAATTAATCATTCCCATAGTGGGATAACTCCCAAGGCGGGAATTATCATGTTCCTTTGGGATGCGGTAGATATTCCACAGGTACCTGCTGACAGGTGGGCTTCCATAAGGGGACCCTCCTGGGGACTCAAGGATGCCATGGCAGGCCTGCGTGTTAGGGCAGAGGATGCTTCCAGCCCTGAGAGCCCGCACGGTCCCTGTGCAGACCCTCCCCGGCTCGCGTGTGTTCCAGGGCCTCACACCTACCAGAGGATGATCGGCTGCGAGATGCTGGAGGACGGAAGCACCACGGGATTCCTCCAGTACGCGTATGACGGGCAGGATTTCCTAGTCTTCAACAAGGACACCCTCTCCTGGATAGCCGTGGATAACGTGGCCCACGTCACCAAGCAGGCGTGGGAGGCCAATCGGCATGAGTTACAGTATCAGAAGAATTGGCTGGAAGAAGAATGCGTTGCCTGGCTAAAGAGATTCCTGGAGTATGGCAATGCCACCCTCCAAAGAACAGGTACAGAGGAGGGAGACGGCTGCCCCGCACCCCCAGAACTGCAGGTTGTGCACACAGCTTCCACTCATCTAGGTTACATCCACCCTACCCTGACGTCTGTGTCTTTAGTTGGACTATTGTGATCTGTAAGTCCCCGTGAGAACGTTCCCTAGTTACTTTTTAGCAACGTCTTGACAGAGTGGGGCGACTCCAAGGGCTCCTCCTTTTGGGGTCTCCAGCGAGGCAAACCCTTCCATCTCCTGTCGACAATAAGCTGGGAAATGCTTTGGGACGTGGAGCGATTCTCACAACTTGTTTAGTAACTGAGGGCTCTCGCTTGATTCAATTGTTCAACTTTTAATACAAAACTTTTTGTTTTTGATCTTATTACTCAAAGTCAGTGATGTCTGTATCATGCCACAGGAAGCTCCTGGACACGTGTACCTTCAGTGGAAGGGCTTTCAAGCTGTGGTGGGCAGTAGCGGAGGCGTCTGGGCCTGTCACGAACATGGTCTGCCTCTAAGCACAGGTGGTGGAGGCAGATGACTAGCTTGAGTGTCTACTCTCCCACTCACAGCTGAGTAACTATCGTGATCTTAACACACACAGGTATCAGAAACCTATTCAAACTGGCGTAAGCACAAAGTGGGAAGTTATTTGAAAGGCTGGAATCAGGGCAGTGTGGGGACTCGAGAAATCAAAACCAAGATTTGAACGGCTTTCTCTGTGAGGTGGGGCTGTGGCTGCTGGCACAAAGCTCGTATCCTCATATCTTCACCATTCCAGAAGAATGGGCTTCTGCCCGTACCCAATAAAAAAGTCACAGGAGGACTGTGACTGGCCTGAATCATGTGTCACCTCTGGGACCAATCATTGTGACCACCAGGACAGGACTGGCTGTAGCTAATGGAGTCCTAGCAAGAATGAAATGGCACACTCAGAATGGTTTAACTGAATTCAACAGAGAGATTACCTGTAGAAGAATGATCAGGATTGAGGAAACCAGTAAGGGATGGTGAAGTATCCAGAGACTTCCAACAATGGGAAGCCATTATGGCCCTGGATCAGAACGGCAAGAGCAGGGAGTATGTACCAGAGCCCAGCAAGAGCTGCTGCCTGGGCAGAAGATCCTCCTAGAGTGAGCCATGGAGGAACACGGTCAATGGCAGGTCTGCAGATAAGTGGTTGGGGAATTGGGGGATAAAAGCCAACCCCTCCTCTAGCTCTCAGATCTGTCACTGAGGATGCTTAACCCAGTGGCCAAACCCAACGGGAGGCAGGGGGTGCACTACAGGTGAGTCTGCTGTGTACAGTCCCCTGGGCATGCGGCAGAACACAGGCCAGACCAGATCTGGGGCTCACAGCCAGAGCCTAACCAGTACACAGTTTGGTGATGGTCTGGCAGGAGAATGAAGATTGGTACCTCGTAACAGAGGCACACGCTGGAGCACGGTGGAGAGATTTTCCAAAAGATGCTGTGGCAGGAGAGGGGTTCCTATTATCAGAAAACATGGGACCAAAAAGGCAATAATCTTGACTAAAACAAATAGGTGTGATAATGCCTCCCACACAGAAAATGAAATAACATATACAAAGGTATATGTTAAATATACCTTTGTATATTTAAATATACCTTTCTATAATTAAATATACCTTTGTATAAATTATAGGGCTCTGCTCCCTTTTTCATGAGGACATCAGCCATTTGGGTTAGGGACCCACCTGCTTCAGTATGACCTCTCCTTAACTAATCACATCCGCAACAACTCTACTTCCAAATGAGGTCACATAGTGAGGTACCAAGAGCTAGGACTTAAACATGAATTATGGGGGACACAATTCAACCCCTGTGACACCTCTACCCAACCACCTCTGGAGGCTCTCCTAAGGCCACCAAGGCTCCTCTCGCTCCAGCGGTTCATCCAGCAGTTCACAAATCGAGACAACTAAATGAACTCACCCCACGGTGAGACTGACTAGTCGTTCACCTTGGCTCACTCTGTCAGAGGAGTTGAATCCAGCGCATCTGTGGAGTTCTGGATGGTTCAGGGGTTATGGGGAGGGGGCAGATGTCCTTCCTTTACATCACAACATTTAGTTTTCTTCCAGGTGTAAGGCTCACCCCCCCACCCCGACCCCTGCAGGACAGGACAAGGACCAGCGCTCCTGGCCTCCAGCTGCTGTCCCTGACGGGGGGGCTGCCCAGGGCTCTGTCTGCCCACAGCCTTCCCAGAGCTGCACGTCTGGCGCTGCCCTCTTGGTTCTCAGTACCGGAGGGGACGTGATGACGCCTTTCAGTAGGTGACATATGAGTCCAGACCCCGGGACCCCAGGGTCTCCTGGATATGAGATTTCTGGGAACACTCACATTGTGGGGGCCGCGCCGAGGAGGAAGCCCCAAATTGGCTGGAGGGGACACAGCCAGGGTTCACTGGAGCCTCCTGCTCCAACAGGTTCCCTCCTGCTTCCCACAGCCCGTGTGGCTGAGCAAAAAGGACACGAAATACAGCGCTTACCACGCAGCAAGATGAAGCCCACACGTGCCATTACATGTGTCTTTGTTGTAAACCGTGTTGAGTCACAACCCTAAACTCTGCCCATTTATTCAGTTTCAGAACCAACCGAGGACAGGAGCAGGGCCATAGCTAACCCACATAAGACATCTGAGCGAATTAGAAAAATGCGCCCTTCCTCTGGCTGGACACTGGCCCAGGCCAGGTCAGATGGCTTGACCAGCAGAACAGAATGGATATTGACCCTGTTTGCCCTGCAGTGGGGTGTCCTTGTGTAGGGCCCAACCTTACCTGGCAGTTCCGGTTATACCATTAGAAAATAGACAGAAATGGGCTGCACAAGAAAATGAATGAATTATTTGGAAGGGAGGGGTGATGGTGGAGGAAAAGAGGTCAATTCATTCAAAATGGTAGAACTAGAAGCCCGTGTTGTATATTCACATAGTTAAAATTACCTGAAAGGTTTTACATAATCCTGAGAAATGAGTTCTCAGCTATCTTGGGGGCCCAAATATCTGATACCTTCTATACGTTTTTTTATTCTTAAGGCCAACAGAGCTTTAGGTAATATACTCTGAATCTTCCTTTCTGTCACCATTGGGGTATTTGGTTAATGAAAGTTCTTAACATGCAAATTTCATCAATTCTTGTCCACGCCCTTAGCTAGGAAGACATGCTGGTTCTAGGGAGACTGGGTCCTGTCGCTTTCTCCTCCCCCCTCCCGCCCATGCAGCGCTGGCTGAGCCAGCAGAGGCTTCTGCGTGTGGCCCTGGGCAGGCTGGGTGTGAGAGGATGTTTGGGGCCAGAAGGCTCCGAGTCCACTGGAGCTGAGCTCCGAGTGGCAGCTGGAGGCTGGGCTGGCCGCAGCGCCTGGCTCAGCGACACTGGGTCTGAGGCAAGTGTGGTGGCAGCAGCCAGACCTCTGAAGACGCAAGCAGGAGCCAGAGAGTGGGAGCGACCGAGGAGAGAAACAGCTTCCGAGAGAATGGCTTCTCCCATGGATGGAAAGAAATCCAGGGAACAGGAGGCTGCGGGACGAAATGGGAAGACACCAGAATGGAAAGGAAGTGACACCAAGGGAGAAGTGAGACATGCCACCCCAGCCGGAGCAGTCTTGGCCTTTCTCCCTTTTGAGATATCAGCACAGATTCTAAGGTTCCCTGAACTGAGTAAAAGCTCTGTTTTCTTCTGAGCAACACGATAGTTGCATAAATAAAGAATTCCAGGAACACACTGAGGAGACACCTGCTCTAAGGTGACAATTCTGGGGAAATTTGAAAGGCTGGAATAAGAAAAAGCAAGACATTTAGAGTCCATCAGCTGCTGAAATCCATCCACTCATGTACTTTAAAATACCTAAAAACATGTACTCTGTGTATTACTCACAGAACAGCTATAAATATAGTCTGTGGGTCACCACTGTGTGTCGTGCAGCGCCTTAGGAAGCCACTGGATGGCTTGTTTGTACAGCTCATCAATGCCCTGGAAGAGGTTCTGCCTATGCGACTGGATTGGCTTGCATAGTATTTGAACTTCACGGTTGATGTCCTTAAGGAGGCAAGTTCTGGCTCTGTCAGGAGTTGGTCTTGGCCACCTAACTGTCCCACTTACCAGCTGGAGCCATGGTGCTTCAGTGGGGGCTGCGGTCCCAAAACAAGGGCTGGGAAAAACCTCACTGATCGAGCTCAGAGGGAGTGGCTCTATGGTTAACTGGCTATGTGGCTGCTGCCACCAAATTCTAACTGAGCTGCCACAGGGTGATGAATGAGAAGTCACCATCTTAGGATGGTCTCTGAACATCTCATACAAGGAAGCTCCACAATTTGGCAGCCAGTCCCCATGTAGGACCACAGCACCTAGAAATCAGTGCAATTTTGACAGCAGTCACACTGACAAAAAACAAGGTATGTTTTCATTGTGTACGAGGTAATGTTTTGAAGTATACGGTAGTCCCCTGTTATCTGCAGGTCATAGGTTCCAGAACACCCAGTCGATGCTTGAAACTATGGATGGTACAGAACTCGATACGGCATGTGTTTTCCTACATATACAGAAGGATCCCTTGCTGAAGTCTTTGTATAGGCTTGATGCTTTCTGGCTCAACACATTCCTGGAGGGTGACTTGAGAGACCTCGGAAAGTGACGGTGTGGATAAGGGGGGGGCTACTGTACAAGTGGATGAAATGACAAGAAAATTAACATAAGAATCTTCGAACTGCCAAGAGTCAAAACGTATCCTCCCTTCAAGAAGAGAACCTAGTTCATACAAGGAAAAGAAAAGGCAAAAAGGTCAAGACATTGTACACTGTTCCTCCAGCTGCAGGCCAATTGCAGTTGTCTATGGTGAGATCAACTTCAGGCCTGACACCCTAGTTTGACATGAGGGTCTTCAAGACCCCTGGGCCCCTGTGCTTCAGTAGCTGGAAAGTGGATTTACAGTGACTCGGTGAGTGGCAGTCCTATTGCTGACAGCAGGTCTTCCTCCCTGCACCTGTGGGTAGCGGAAAGCATGCTGTTACCGGCCAGGGCCTCGCAGAGGACTGATACTGCACAAGGACATCCGGAGGCCTTGGACCACGCTCTCCAGCCATCTTGCCCACATCCACAGCAGCACACGGACCTACAAATGAGAAGCCAAACCTGACAGGAAAGACTGTCAATGGCGCTTCTGAGGCCCTGAAGAGAT